ATGGACTCGTCACCTGTCTTGTGATCTTGTTTCCAATGGGTGTACAGGAGTGACGACCTGTATACTACATGTCAGAAAATTACATTATGATGTTTGATCAAAACCTGTTTACAAGGTACAAATATAGCCACTGATAATCTGATAATCGGTTAAAATTCTGGATAGTGTTTTTGAAAACCTTCAAATATAGTGTAGTTTTTGTTAGAATCATAAACGGGCCAATGATCATTATTGCCCCCCCCTTTTAAATCAATTCCTTGAATACTTAGTCCTACTTTTATGATTACGATAAAAGCACCCCATTTGTTGTTTATATATCTATACATATAATGGAGTCATGTACCTTTTGAATTATGAAGGTGAAATAGATATTTTAGTATATTTATGTCAGGAGTCCCCCTCCTCAGAATGTTTTAGTATATTTATGTTAGTCCCCTCCTCAGAATATTTCAGTGTATTTATGTTAGTCACCCTACTCAGAATGTTTTAGTATATATTTGTGTTAGTCCCCCTCCTCATACCCCTTTGTATATTTATTAAAGGTCCAAAATGTGCATTTTCTATGTTCGTGATGCTTTCAGTATGTACACACTTTCAGCAACCAGAAAGATGAGTTACCCAAAGACGAATTACCCACAGATGGATTAATATTACCAACACTAATACGAAACGTAATAATTTGTGCTCGGGACGAGCACTTCGGGAAAGTAGTGGAGAATATAACCGGAAGAAAAGTGACATTGGGAACTTTTACCATAATTCGAAAAGTGCTTTATATGAACTCTCGTTTTAGATGCAATATTTATATGAACTCTCGTTTTAGATTGGATATTTCTATGAACTCTCGTTTTAGTTTTAAATTGAACATTTCTTTTTTTAAAATGTTTCTTTATTCTTAAATATAATGTTTCTTTATTTCAAATACCCAAAGAGATTATAGATTTACTATTTTACAACTTAATCCGATGGCTGTCAAAAGTGCTAAAGATAATACATGTATCTAACACTCGAACTACAAAAGAAGCAATTATCGCTATTTTACCAAGTTTAGCCGGAGGACAATAATCCGATTATTATTACATAAGATTGGACAATAATTTATATTTTATGAGAACCTTTTATAATGTTTTAATACCCTTATCTTTGACTTAATTTATGTTTTGTAAACGGTTGCTTGGGCAGTCTTCCCCTAGCTCTCAAGCTGTACACATGTGAATAAATTTGTATATATTGTATATGGTCTTGCGTTTAAAGCAGCCACAGTGTCGATTATAGACCTACAGACTTTAATGTAACCCGTGCCGAAATTCACGGAGTTATACCGAAATTCACGGGGTTATATAAATACAAAATTTATAAATTGTATTTATTTAAATTGTAATATTCAAATAAAAATCTTGAAGTTTTATTTTAATATATATTTACAGTCCCAGCGTACATTGAATTGCACTAATGTAACAATAACGCAATGTAACCGTAGACACAAATATTATTGTTACATTCGCAATTAATCTGATCCTTACCCAACCCTGCATTCCAGCTATTAGTCTCCAATGTAACAATAATTATTTTATTATTGTTACATTTCCATGTAACCGTAGCCAGTGCCTACATTAAATCAGTATCTGAGTCTTAAGCAGAGGTGTCTAACACTTGTCTATTTTTGGTTATAAACGAAAACAATCTAATTAAAATATAGATCTCGGATTTCGTTATACTACGTTATACTACATACGAAGATCTCGGATTTCGTTATACTACGTTATACTACATACGAAGATCTTCGTATGTAGTATAACGTAGTATAACGAAATCCGAGATCTATATTTTAATTAGATTGAAACGAAAAAAAAAGTGAAAAAGTAATTGCTGAAAAATACGAATAAAATTTGTACTCGTAAAGTACCTGTTACCGCCAGAAGTTCAGTTTTCCTAGATTATTGTCTAACAGAAAATCCGTAGCAAATATTTTGTATTCCCGATATATACCTGCCAACTTTCCTTTTTATTGTCATGGGTGGATTTCCCCAAGAGGCTGACCCAGAAACTCTTTTATCTGGTTAGGGAGGGGGCAAAAATGATTTCGGGGGAACAAAAAGGAGTTAAAGGGCGGATGTTCAAACATTTAGACTTGTATATGGTACCGTGTTTGCATTTTAGCCGATTCCGTCTTTGTTAAGAAATTAAGGCTTAATTGCATCATAGCTGAGCCAATACAATGTTGTGCTTTTTATGTGTGGCGGTATTTTTTAGAGACACATACACCCTTTAAATCTGAATAGAGAATAGAAACGGGGAATGTGCCAAAGAGACAACAACTTGGCCGAACAAAGAGCAGAAAACAGCACAAGGCCACCAATGAGTCTTCAACTCAGCAAGAAAATCCAGCACCCGGAGGCGGGCTTCAGCGGCTGGCCCCTAAACAATAATGTCATTATATTTCAGTTCAGATTTTAATATCAGCGTGCTATGCAAGTACAGGTGCTTGTACATAGAAACACACAATTCAAACAATTAAAACAAAATAGCTTCATCAGGCGCGTGCAGCCATCCAGGTATATATATAAAGTGCATTATATATATTAGAAAAGTTTGTTTTCGACCGGCATTTTCCAAACACATCACATTATATATATATATATTTAAAAGTACGACATTGCAAAAGGTACGGAATTTATAAATAGTTTTCAACGGTTAAAATATTTGTTATGATCTCCACCCGTGAATTTTTTTCTCTGACAATGTCAATTTTGATAGAAGAAAATGAAAACAGAATTTGATATCAATAAGGTAAAAATAGGCTGAAAAATACGGGCATGAATAAGAAACACCTAGTGTGACAAATACACAGATAATCCTTTGCTAACACATTTTTTGGTACTAGTGTTCCTGATGAATGTAAATCCAAACAAGCAATTCGGACGCAATACATTTATAAAGTGTTATTTTCATTTTTCTATAAAAGGCCCCGGTTAAAACGTAAACATGATTAAAAAAAAACGATGGAAAAACAAGGTTCTGACCCCCGGATCCCCTTTAATCCGCCAATGTTAGACAATCATAAGGAACACAAATGGCTCGAAAAATCATATACTACAGCAATGAATAAAAACACACATGACAGACATGACAACAACTGAATAACAGGTTCCTGGCTTGGGACAGGCAATATATGCCCTCAATTTTAGAATTCATTCATAAAATTGAGAATGAAAACGGGGAATGTGTCAAAGACACAACAACCCGACCAAAGAGCAGAAAACAGCCCAAGGCCATATACATCAGTTTTGTATTTTTGAAAATTATCAGTCAAAATATGTTCTAAAAGGATCACCAATCCTTCACCTTTCATTTGATACCTAAACTACCAAACTATATTCTACATAGTTTAATATTAACACCTATGCGTAGGAACTATTTTGTTTTAAATATATACTACTTTCCCTTATGTTCTTTTTTTGGTGTTACATCTTACAAAGTCTATTCGAATTATTTTGCAAATCATTCCTCTCAATCCGGTACTAGGGCCGTCTTAAACTTGCAGTGAAGTGAGAGTTATTTTGCTCCGTGTTGAAGGCCTCACTGTGACTTTGAAATGAATAACGGCAAAAAAGCACTGTTCCTTTGCTTTTTGTGTGTTTTTTGCTGTGCATGTACTGATTTTGTGTCATGGATGGATACCCCATATCCTTTGTTTTTTTTCTATTATAATGTGTTATAGTAGTCTCGGTAAGAAGCAGGCGGGGTTGATATATTTGTTGGCACACCACATCGGTCCTATAGCTTGTAATTTTAAGAATAAAGCTGATCTTCAGACACTGTCAAAAGCCTTTTTAAAATCTACAAAACACCCATATACTTTCTTTTTACATTAATAAAATTATTTGTTTATTATTTGTTTCAAAACAAAAACATGATTTACAGTTCTGTAATTTTTTCTAGAACCACCCTGATTTGAACATAGTAAGTTATTTGTTTCGGGGAAATCACTAATATAAAAATAAGATGTGGTATGATTGCCAATGAGACAACTATCCACCAAAGTTCAAATGAAGTGGATGTAAGCAATTATAGGCAACCGTACGGCCTTCAACAATAAGAAAAACTCATACACGGTATATATAGTCGGCTATAAAAGGACCCGACATGAAAAATATGAAAAAATTCAATTGAGAAAACTAACGGCCTAATTTATACAAAATAATTTACGAAAAACAAATATGATAGAAATGAACCAACGAAAACCACTCATGAAGTCTTCTTAGTAAAATTGAAGATACTTTTTACACGAGCCCCACTGAGTGCAACCCCTCCAGGGGTGGACCAAGGAATTTTTTTAAAGGGGCGGCGTAATTCGCGAAAACAGATTATTAATAAAGGGCATACGATACAATGACAGGGGAGGTAATGACGTTGCTAACGTCTTACTTATGTTATTTTTCGCGACGTCAAACTGCGACTTATCGAGAAAAGGTGCATTTTTAGACTGATTTTTATCATTCAGACTAATTTAACTTGAAAACAAGTTCATAGACCCCTCTTTTTAAAAATGAAATTTGATTTAATTATATGTGTAAAGATTAGTTGTGCCAATTTTTATGAATATTTCACCGATGTATCATGAGATAAAAAATTACCGTTTCTTGACTAAATTCATGAAAATGAAAAAAAAAAATTATTTCCAAAGAATTGTTACACAAATGCAAAGCACAAATATGTAGAGAAGCTATTCCAAATGTTTTTAAAAAAATCCGTTTGAGTTTATCTTTTGAAACAATAAAGGATAGATATGTCCAAGAAAACAAATTTTCCAGTAAATATCTAAATTTCCCCATTTATCTCAATGAAGGTATATTTTTTATTACATATTTGAATTGACTAGGTGTAAAATAGCTTGTATGCAAACTTTCGTCAAAAATTCACCGTACACTGTTAAGAAGAATAAATCCGGTTCGTTTCACTCTGGTTCTGGACAACTTCAGATTGTGGTATTTAATTTTATAAACTGTTAATCTTACACTTCGGGATTTCCTCCACACATTTTTGACAACTTATTTCATAGGGAAGTTTTCTAATTGTCGAAAAGGATTTTAGAAATTAAGGAAATATTTACAGAATATTAAGGAGTTTATGGCAATTACAATGTAATATGTATTGTCACCTTCAGAACATGAGAACCCAAGAACAGCAAAGAACTCGGAACACTTAGTAATTAAGGTATAATTTTACTTTCGCTTTCGGTTTATTTTTTTTTTATTGGATTTAATATTATATTTACTCAATAACCGGGGGGATAATATATATAGAAATATAATCCCTTTTGGGATTCTGTGTCCTCTGGCTGCGGATAAATCAGAAAATCGCTCCGGAAACAGAATCCCAAAAGTCATTAGAGGGGGGGTTTAAGAAAATATATTTGATTCCTTAGAGGGGGCGGGGGGTAATGTATTTTTAAGAAAATATATTCTGAATCCAAAGGGAAGAAAAATACATATTTTATAGCAGAATTGGCCAAAAAATATTCTGTTGAAATAAATATTCAGATTTAGGTGTATATTTAAAATATGGATAGTCGACCTTTCCATGGATAGAAACAAGTGCCTAGCTGTGATGATCATGCAAGATCATTCAAGAGTTGCTTGGAAAATCCCAAACATTACAAAAATGAAAGTATGCCCCCTGGTCTGCTCATTTGAGCTTTAAGCATTACTATAATTAAAAATAGAACATATAGGATCAAACTACAGTTTTGGCTAATATCTCTTAAACGAGGGTAGTATTGGAGGTACCTTCAAGACGAATAACGGTAAAAAATCTTGCCAAATAAATGAAGTTAACGGTAATTTTTGGTTCATGACGATAAAATGTACATTTTCTTTATGACGATACAAAAATCGACTGATTTTGATAAATCATGTTAAATTTTTTTTAAAAACAATGGTAACGGATAGTTATTTGAGACCTCTGACGAATAACAATAAGGATAGTTCAATGAATCACAATAACATTTTAACCAATTTGATGCTAACGCTGCAGGTAGCCAAAAATGACAGTTTGACGCCTTCTTAAACCATATATAAATATATAGCAATTAGAGAAAAACTGAGACGGGTAGAAATGACCAGCACAACAAGTTCCATCTTCCCTGACAATTATGGAAATATTCGGTTATTGATTTGGGAATGTACGGCGGGCGGGCAGGTTGCTGCCAAACAGTGTCCTTGCATTTACTCATGAACCATTCAACCAAAGCTTTTCAAATTTTAATATGTTGTTACAAATGACAAAATGGAGGTCAAGTTCAATATTGACGATTTTCACTTTCACCGTTCAGGAGTTATGGTTCTTGAAAGATTGAAAAATGGTGTTTCCAGTCATGTCCGTGCTTTAACTCATGAACTGTTCAACCAAAGCTTTTAAAATTTGAATATGTTGTTACTGATGACAAAATGGAGGTCAAGTTTGATATTGACGATTTTTCGCTTTCACCGGTCAGGAGTTGTGGTTCTTGAAAGATTGAAAAATGGTGTTTCCAGTCATGTCCATGCTTTAACTCATGGACCGTTCAACCAAAGCTTTTCAAATTCTAATATGTTGTTACTGATGACAAAACGGAGGTCAAGTTCAATATTGATGATTGTCACTTTAACCGTTCAGCAGTTATGGTCCTTGTGATATTGAAAAATGCCAGGACACAAATAAATGTTAAAAAATCTGGTTTGCTGTCACTCTGACAGCCTCTTGTTACTTCTTTAACTGCTCTTCTTTGACAGAGTAACAGGATTTCCTACCACAGAGTAGGTAACCTGTCGAAAAAATATAAACTCTGGAGTCAAAAGTCGGTTATATGAAAATAGTCTATTGGCAAGGATAAAAAAAAGAATAAACAATATTAATGGCAAGCTAATAATAAATATGTTTAACTCTGGAACTTTCTGTATGTGCCTTTCCCAAGTCAGGAGTTTGTTATTCAGTGGTTGTCGCTGTATATCATATTTGTTTTTTTTAATGCCCCCACCATAGCAGAGGGGGCATTAAGTTTTACCCTTATCCGTCCATCCGTTCTTACATCCATATGTCTTGAAATTGGTTTCCGTTCTCTACCTTTAGTTTGCCTCAACCAAATGTTATGAAACTTATACACAATGCTTATTACCACAAAACACAGATTAAGTTTGAAATTTGGTGGCATTTATTTTACTGTTCTAGAGTTATGCCCCTTTACAAATGGAAAAATTACTGAATTTTTTGTTTCTGTTCTCTAATTTAAGTTTGCCTAAACCAAATGTTATGAATCTTATACACAAAGCTTATTACTACAAAACTCAGATCAAGTACGAATTTGGGTAGCGTCACTTTTACCGTTCTTGAGTTATGTCCCTTTATGATGTTGTATGCGTTGGGGCATCTGTGATCTATGTCCCATGGGCACATTCCCTATTTATTTGTTTATTGTTTTGAACATAAATCAGGCTGTTAGTTTTTCTCGTTTGAATTATTTTACATTTGTCATTTAGGGGCCTTTTTTAGCTTACAATGCTGTATGTTTTTTGCTCATTGTTGAAGGCCATAATGTGACCTATAGTTATTAACTTCTATGTCATTTGGTCTCTGGTCGAGTTGTCTCATTGGAAATCATACCACATCTTCTTCATGATTTTTATAAAACATTCAAGGTCCATGACTGAAGGTGTAGGGACAAATTTCAGAGTTAGGGAATTTTTCACCCTACAAAAGGCAATTTTTCACAAATCGGGCACTCTATGAAATTGTACCATGAGGCTCCACACCAAAAAAGGAAGGTTGAGATTGATTTTGGGGGTTATGGCCCTAGTTGTTTAGGAAAAAGGGGCCAAAAACAATACTTTTCAAATACTTTGTATAAATTGCTTATTTCTTGACCAATTTCAATAGGTTTTCATTCAGTCTTGAATTCTTGGGGTTCTTTAATATGCTGAATCTTACCGTATATTCAGATTTTGGATTTTGGGCCCCGTTTGTAAATTGGTTCATATTGAGGTCTAAAGGGTCCAAAATTAAACTTTGTTTTATTTCATCAAAGATTGAATTATTTGGGTTCGTTGATATGCTAAATCTAACCATGTATTTAAATTTTGGAAATTGGACCACAATAGGTAAATTTCCAATTTCCAATTTCAAAGTTCTTAGACCACATTCATTCTGTGTCAGAAACCTATGCTGTGTCAAATATTTATTCACAATCCAAATTCAGGGCTGTATCAAGCTTGAATGTTGTGTCTTTACTTGCCCAAACTGTTCAGGGTTGGACCTCTGTGGTTTTATCAAGCTGCACCCTGTGGATATAAAAATGAGAAGATGTGGTATGATTGCCAATGAGACAACTCTCCACAAGAGATCAAATGATACAGAAATTAACAACTATAGGTCACCTTACGGCCTTCAACAATGAGCAAAACCCATACCACATAGTCAGCTATAATAGGCCCCGTAATGACAATTGTAAAATAAATAAAGAGAAAACTAACGGCCTAATAAATGTACAAAATAATGAATGAATAACAAATATGATACACAGCACCAAACAACAACCACTGAATTACAGGCTCCTGACTTGGGGCAGGCACATACAGAATGTGGCAGGGTTACACTAGTTTGAAGGCACCAACCCTCCCCTAAACTGGGACAGTGGTGTAACAGTACAACATAAGAACAAACTATGAAAATCAGTTGAAAAAGGCTTAACTCATCAGATGGATACAAATAGAAATACATCTAACAAAAACACAGAGTGGACGTGGCAGGGTGCACTTATACATCCCCACAACAAAAAGACAGATCTGAGAGTTACAGACAGCTAGTTCAAAGCCAATAACAACTAATAAAAAAATCATGCAACATAGACTAAAATATCAATCAGTACACTCAATATCCAATGGATTTAGTGTTAAGACGTCATTAACAGTCAGAGAAAAACATGACCTTGTGCAATGCCAAGGTACAGGTATCGACAGATTGTAGAGCCATAAATGTGTATATGTATATAAAAATAATATTTAGTTTGATTTTAATTAACTAATAACAAAATCAATATTAATACCAATAAAAACAATATTCAAAGATCTAATTACAGTGTTGAATTGGTAACCTTTTTGAATAAGTATATTTAAAGGATGGATAAGTTTACTCGGATCGTATCTAAAGGAGTAGGCCAGGTAAGACCTCTTTTTGGCCCCAAAATATAGCATTTTTACAATTTGTTTAAAATGTAAACTTTTGTCTATTTATTAGAAAGTAGAATACTTTAATTACATAGATATGGGCTGTTTTTTGACAATACTATGCACATTCAACAGGTACTAACATCATTAATATATGTAAAATTTCTAAAATCTTTACAATTTAAGCATTTGTGTTTATTTTTAGACGTTTTTTGTCTAAAATGGAAGTTGCTGCACTTGTGTTCAGTCTTAATATTTAAATACATGTTGTATTTGATGATAATACATAACATATATAAAGATTGAGACGGCCACTTACATTGTAGACAAAAAAACAATTGAAAAGTGATGTTTTATGGCATATTTAATAGATTTTTCATAGTGAAGTTTGAATGTGAGCGTCTTTAATGATCAAATCAGTTCAAATCTTTTACATAAACTAATTGTATCGAATGAAGTAGACACTTTAGTGTTTGAAAACATGTCAAAAATCTTTCATCAAAAGTAATTAAAATTTTAGGCCAAAATTAGCCCTTACCTGACCTTCTCCTTCAGGGCTTGGTAAACAACATCTCAGTAAAATTTAGGGTGTGCTATCCTGTTTGAAATAAGTTTTCTACAGGTACAACAAAACTTCAAAACCAAATCTTTATATCTATGGAAGAATTTAGTAAAGGTTTTAAACAATTTGTGGTAATGAAATCCCTGACTTAATAATTTACCAGTAATACATAGATTATGTTCACAGAAATCCAAAACATCACAAGACAAGGGCATAGCGAACGATTTGTGATTTATAAACACTGTAAGATGGTGCCAAAGGAACATCACCGTCCTAAAAAGGAAAATTAACAATAGGGAATGAAAAAATCATCCCTTTTGTCGTAAATTTTAGTGTAGAGTTTCCTGTGTAAAACTGAAATATCTAAATCTAGGAAAGGACAGTTATTACCATTTATATTTGATTTATTTAAAGTAAGTTCTTTTTTTGGTAAATTTCAGCAGTATATTTAGAAA